TTTTTTTTTTTTTGTGGCTTAAAATTTTCTGTCTGTGTCACTTTTAACAAAATTGCTTCACGTATTTTGCTTCAAATCTAAAATGTTCTCTCACACGTATTGTTTGTATATAATAAAGGTAATAAAAATTCAAAGTTTTGTGGTTAATTTTGATATTTTTTTCCCCAACAGGATTTGGATTGTATTTGTATAAGGTCAAAAACCAGACACTCCAACTCCATGGGCTCCTAAAATAAATATTTTAAGGGGAAAACAATATTCTAACGACTTTTAATTCTCAGGGATTATAGTTTCCAATTCATGGCAAGGCCTCATATTTAACATAATATATTTTATATTCATAAATGTAATCTATTTGTGTATTGGGATGTTTAAATCTGATTAAACATTGCATCCATGCGGCAGTTTTGAGCTGCTGCTTTTGTGTTGACCAATATAAAAAAGAAAAACTTACCATATCTTCTAAATAAAAAATGTTTTAGATAATAAAAAAAATAAAATAAACACATTGTTGATGCATGTCATTTGAATCAGAGCACAAATCAGTTTTAATTTATTGAATTATTCTACCAAGATGCATTTCATTCAGACCATGTACAGAAATTCACATATGGAGTGACTATTAATTTCTTATATACATACTTTATCCTCAATAAAACACTTTCAAAACAAATCATCTGTGTATTTTAATATAAAACATGAACAAAATTAGGTCTGTCTGTGATCCATAAGTGAACACAATAAAACACAACATGAAAAGCTCTTTACTACAATAGTTTGTAAGTTGCTGAGGTAAAACACAACTGAAGCAAGTATTTACATTTAAAAAGCACGAGCAGAGCAGCTGCTTGTTCAGCTACGCCACTCCAGTTTGATGATGTCTCTGTTGCTGCATGTGATCCAGATGTTTCTGGTCCACGTTTCCATCAGAGAAAATTGCATTTTTTCAGAATTTGTTTGAGGCAAACAAATAAACAAACAAACAAAACACTCATATAGATGATTTCAGTTTGTTTCCTATCAGCAGAAAAGCTTGAAGTTTTCAGTTCTAAATGTTTGAAATCCAGCATCAACCAGTTTGATTTTATTTAAGTCTCTTTGGTCCAGTTCTACAGCTACTCCTGGTACTGCCTCTCTGTGGCAGTGAAGTAATCGTCCAACATATTTTTCAGGTGCTCAAACGTGGGTCTGTCTGCAGGTTTCTCCCTCCAGCATTCGTGCATGATGCTATAAAGCTCATCAGGGCAGTCCTCTGGTTTCGGCATCCTATAACCTGTCTCCAGGTTCTGGATTACCTCTGGGTTGGACATACCTGGACAACAGAGATCAAAATTAATGATAAATTAAAAACTAGTAAGAGGATAAAGAAAACAAGAGTGTTCCTAGGGGGAATGCACATCACCCTCCACCTTCCATGCCCGAGTTGATCTCGTGTAAAATTGTAAAAACTTGCAAGATGTTTTAGAGCTTGAAGTATGCACTAAGGATATCATAGCTAACTACCGCACCTGATTTTATATATGTAAAACTGAGTTGTAGTCATTTTGTGCTGCTATAGAGACAACAGAAAAGAAAACAAGAAAACAGTCACACCAACAGAAACAATATGACGTTTCACTAACGAGTGATTACCTGGGTAAGGAATGCGTCCATATGTTACAATTTCTGTGAGGAGAATCCCAAATGACCACACATCAGATTTTATGGAGAAAGTGCCATAGTTTATAGCTTCTGGTGCGGTCCATTTAATAGGAAACTTTGCACCTATAAAACAAAGCAAAACTTAATGTTTAGAAAGAAAAGACACGAAACAGCAACTTTGAATGAATGCAAACACATGAATCAAAATCTCTGTGTGTGTGTGGGAAATATGGGCACTGGAGGCGCTGCAGCACCCTCTGATGGATGTCAACAGGCATGTAGATCCAAATACATTGTTAAAATTTGAAATAAAAGAGGAATAAAACAGAGTTTATTAGTGTTGCATATGTTTGAATTCAATTAGTTGATCTTACTGAGTTTAGTAAATCTGATATAAACCAGCACTGTTATTGTTCATCTATGAGCTAAATATTTACAACTGCCTAAAACAAGTGTGGCCAGATTAGATTTGGGTTATAATTACAATCTTAAACGTTTTGCCTGTCCAAAATACACAGCATGTTTTGGAATGTTTAAATTCAGGCAATACAACAGGAAGGTCAAAGAGGAGATCTATGGATGCAGTTAGAGAGGACAAATGGATGTAGTTGGAGGACAGAGGACGCAGAGGACAAAGTAAGATGGAGGAGGATGTTTTTTTTTCCTTCTTGCTCTCAACGAAGGCGTACGCTTTTCCCTCCTGCTCCTTCCCTGCTTCTGTGAAGAGGTTTGTTTGGCAACTTTCACACTGTCCCATCTAGGACACAGTGTGAGATCTGATTTTTTTTTTACACCTCCTCTTCCCTCGTGTTTCTCTTTTCCTTATCTAAACGAAAAAAGCAGCGTCTCCCTTGAGGCCACAGCCTCAGACACCTCCGTCTCCCCATGTCTGTTTGTTTGTGTTTTACTTAGACGGGCTGTACTGAAATCTAATCTCGTTGTGCTTCGGTGCAATGTCAATAAAGCTTATTCTGATTCTGATGACTTACTGTGGCCACCCTTGAGACAACATGCAGTTCACTGCAAACATCTAGCCCATTTGAGTGTGTTTTACACATTAATGCAAATCATACAAATTTAAATATGCTCACAGCACCTTTCAATTGAGAAATGTAATCGCAGTGATGCATGTATAAATGAAAATGATGTGAAATATCAAGAAAATTGCTGTTACCTTCTCTGGCTGTGTATTCGTTGTTCTCTATGAGCCTCGCGAGGCCAAAATCTGCAATCTTACACGTGAGCTCATGCGAAACTAGAATATTTGCAGCTCGCAGGTCTCGATGGATGTAATTTTTCCTCTCGATAAACGCCATGCCGTCAGCCACCTGCAGAGGACAGCACATCATCAAGCAAGCCAAATAAAACAAAAAATAACAAAATGACTGTGAAGAAATCTGGACAGATGAACTCAAACCAGGGTGTATACCACTTCCCATAGGTTAATTACATCTACCCTTTACCCCTGATCTGTACTCCACCCAGATACAGCTGTGCTCTTCTTCATGACACAAAAAGCTGCATTCTTTTGCTTTTACCTGACTCATTTGTCTGTTTGTGTATCTGTCAGATGCTGCATGACTCATTTCAAATGGACCTCAAAGTGGAATCTGATGCTGATGAAGGAGGTAACTGAAGTGATAGAAAATTGATGATTTCCTCAAAATATTCCTGAAATTTCTTTGTGGAGTGTTTGTTTGAGCCCATCAGGTGTAAAAATGTGTCACGTACGTGTCATTGGCTGTGCTGTTTTTTCCAGAAACTTGAGATGTACATATATACGTTTGTGTATTTTGGAGCTAAACGTCGTCATAGTGCCCACCTTAAACCTGCTGATACATTCTTTTCTTTTTATTTGAGGAGGGAATAAATAATTTTGCACCTATAGCTAACATTAGATGAGAAAAAACAAAATTAACGTTGCCAGGAGACACTTCGACCTCAAACAATATCAGCACAACTTTTTTTTTTCGGTGAAATGTTCACCACACAGCTCTGCATAAGGTGTAGAACTTTGCACCGAGCTCTGAACGCGTCTGAGAGTTTGTCGACTGCAGATGAAGAGTCGTTTGTCGTAAGACGCTGAAACTTCAGTCTGTCTTCCTGTGGTTGGTTTAGTCATGGTTTAGTCATGCCCACAATACCTCATGAAGTTAAAGTTCTTCGGCATGTAAGAGTTTAAGACAGTTCCGGATTCCTCCATATGTAAGAATAAATTAGAAAAGGGTTAAGTATATTAAAATTTGCAATTAAACTGGCATGAAACCATTAGCTTAGCTTTGCAGTCAAATTATTCATATGAAAACAAAGCATAATGTGAAAATGTTCTACTTCCCAAACGCTTTTAAGCTCACATCCTGTTCTCACGTTTAGATTTGTCACTTTTTTCTATCTTAAACAGTCTCTTTTTTTTAACTTTCTAGTTTAACTGAAAAAAACAAGAAGAGACTCATAACTTAGTGAGCAGGATTTTAGCTATTATTTTAGTAACTTTGCAAAATTTGGAGATGCTAATCTGCATCAGGTTCCCTCATCATCTCTATCCCTTTTATTTCAGCTGATAGTTTGCACCCTTGCGAACAGCTTTACAGAGAAAAGTTCAAATTTCCATGAAGTAGAACTGTTTTATTTGTGTCTAGACCAAAATTAATCCAAAAGCACGTGCATTCCTGCACACGTACACGTCGAGTCTGCACATTTTACACGATTAGTGTTGAACGTAAGCCTCATTACAGCAGCTTATGACCCAGAAAGATCAGGCTCGGAGAAAAGGAGGAAAAAGAACAAACAGGGATCTAATAAAATGAGTAAAAGGAGTGTAATAGGAGTAAAAAAAGAGGAGTCTTGCCTGAGCTGACATGTCTATCAGAGTGTTCATGGGCAAACTCATTCCCTCCTGGGTTTTCAGGTAGTCCACCAGGCTGCCTGTAGAAAACATGCAGGATTTTATTGAAGCATTAAAACATTTTCAACCAGTGTTTATCATCACCAAATCATACTGGGACTGTGGTTTGTCTATAAAAGTGTTTGCACTAAACTTTTTGCCTTTTCGATTTTCCTTTGAGACATCCTCTTCAGTTTGGCGTGCAGATGCAACCTAGTTGCTCTTATGTAATGATTTTATAGATTCTGTTCCAACTTTCTCAGGACGTTGCCGATTTGAACAACAGCAGCCAAAAATGATAGTAGTTATAAAATGACTTGAGCAAAAATACCAAACACAAGTAATATTTTTAACTCGATGACAGCCGGAGACAAAAATACACCAGAATAGCAGCTCAAATCAGCGAACATGACAGTTTGAGGAAGTACCGGTAAACAAAACATCCATCAAATTGATGCAGAGTTTCTCACAATCAAAACTACAGTTGAGTTTGATTAATGCAGAATAATATGTGCAAATACTTTAAGGGAAATGACTGTGCCAGAGGTTTTTAGTCTTCTATTTAAATCCAGGAGTTTACGTTTGAAGTCTACAATCCTGAGCAGCGTTCTTTGACAAGGCCACAAAGAGAAAGTCAGGAAGGCACGCCTGTTATTTTCCTTCTTTCTTGTCGGGACAAATTGTAAAAGATGGGAACTTTAGTCATCCTTTCTCTCAAACACAGAAGCAACAATTGTGTCCTGTCCACACATGAATCAAAGAGTCAGAGAGACAAAGAGTCGGCCTGATGCAGAAACGCTGCTGCTGGTTCACAAGCCACTCACAGCCCATAATACAAAGGCGCGCCTTTCACTTCAGCTCTAAAGCTGCTGTTGTGTTTGTGACAGCATCGCTCGGTGCATTTTGCTCTTCTCGCTCACACCGAGAGGAATTATTAAAACATTTGAGCAAAACAGATGCATGATTGCTATAACCTGAATGGAGGTTTTTAGGCATATTGCACATTTATTGTGAAGAAAAAACTTGCATCCAGCTGCTATGGACTCATTTTATTACTATAAGTCACAAAAAAGGTGTTTTGTGATGAGAATAGATAAAAAAAAAAAAACGAGAAAGTGACAGAATTCATACTAAACTGCATTGTAACTATAATGTATTTTCTACGTAGCTGCAGTATGCGAAATGAAAACTCTGGAGAAGTGCCAGGGCTCAACCTCCTAAACAATAACACAACAATTCACCATCTCCTGTTTTAACACCCTTAGTCTCAGACCAGCAAAGAGAAACTTCCCCTGGTCGGTAAACACCGCTGACCTGGCTGGAGGGGTCTGGAAAAGAAGTGAAAGTTCATGTTTGTTTTGAAAGATTTCACCGCAGCGCAGGGAATTGCAAGAGGGGAGTGATGAGGGGAGGCTGGGCCTCTAACAGGAGCTTCATGTCCACTGGTTACAGTGGTTACAGTTTTATGGCTCATATCTGATGCCACAGAGCAAACACAAATAAAAGGAGAGCCTGCTGGGAAGGTGGGATAAAAAGACATTAAGTTCTTTCAGCACAATCACTGGAGTGAAAAGATTAGCTAATTATTTTTGTTCAAACTCGCGTTCAGAGTCCGATAACAGACGAACGTGTTTAATCCTGAGCATCTGTGACACATGTGCTAACAGAAATGATGAATGCAGACAAGCTGGGACTGATTTTATTTAAATTCACCTTTAAGAACCTAACATCATTATGCAATGTTATGGGAAATATATATTTTTTAAAAAGCTACCGTTTTCCATGTACTCTGTGATGATGAAGATGGGCTCCTGGGTGACGACGGCGAAGAGGCGGACGAGGTGACGATGCTGCAGGTTCTTCATCATGTTGGCTTCAGCCAGGAAGGCTTCCACTGACATCGTGCCAATCTTTAGATTCTTAATCGCCACCTTTCTGTCGTTGTTGTAGAGACCTGAATGGAAGGAACATGAATATAAATGTACCAGCAGCACGTTTGGGGATTGATTTAGTTTTAAAAGTTTGGTTAGAAACAAAAGATATTAAACACAAATCATAAGAAAATCTTCAAATATGCAACTTATCTCTGGTATTTTGTTCACGTCATACTTGTTGAACTCTTTTATTAGATCTGCTCTAATTTTAAACTTGTTACCTGAACTAAAGTGTTGTCTGTAATGATAACAACAACAATAATAATAATAATAATTATTATTATAAGATGAAGAACAAGAACAAGAGAAGAAAATTAAAACCAAGAAGAAGACAAAAATGAAAAAGACCAAGAACAAGAAGATTTTTTTTTATTTTTAACAAAACTTTATTTACACAATAAGTTAACAGTTTTAAAAAAAGGTGATCAGGACAAGCTTAAAATAAAGTATTCACATGAGGAGCTTGTTGTATTGTAGTTCTCCCTGATCAGAAATGGTGCATAAAACTTAAATCCCCACAGTTTCACAAAAATTCTCCAAGTGTCCAGTGTCTCTGTGGAAGCAAAACTCCAACGCCAGTCTGGCCTTGACGTTGCACTTCCACAAAGCCAAGGCATCAAGTTGAGGTTCAGCCTGCAGTTTGTCCCTGCGAGACAAGCAAACAGACATTTTTGCTTCGGCTACTAAAAAGTTTAAAGTTTGGGATTTAGACTTCATGGCTTTGCTGTAATGTACTCCATTAATAAAAACAGATTTGGTGAAAACTGTGTCAAAAAGGCTAAAAATCCTCGTCATTAGATTAAACAGAGCTTTCAGCTGTACAAAATCTGTAAAAACATGACAAACACTCTCAGACAAACTGCAAAAAGGAGACTCGTTTAAAACATCAGGATTGATGACAGACAAAAAAAAGAGTTTGTTGCAGTGGTGCCGTGAAGGATCCTCAAGAACAAGAAGAAGAACATCAAGAAGAAGAAGAAAAGAACAAAAAGAACAAGAAGAAGGCATACTACTGGCATTTTGTCATCACTAACTGCCTGGAAACTAATAATTTTTACTCAAATTTTGTAAGCTACAAAAAGTAAATACACTTTCCAAATGCAGATGTTTAACCCTCCTGCTGTCCTTGGGTCATGGGTCATTTTTACCCAAGGACATCAGCAGAATATAGCTAAAAAATACTGAACACATGATACTTTTTTTCACTGCATCTATTTAGTTTGCAGCTTTGTGAATAGCTTTGAATTTCCAACAAAGCAGCTCACAGAAAACGGTTTCACATAATTACATGTCGGCTGTAAAAAAACACAGAGGGAAGCTCACACCTCTTAAAAAATTTACTTGGACTGGTCGGCATCTCTCTGTACCAGCTCGTCCAAAAACAAAACAAAACACCTTTTAGAGAACGTGACGGCAACAGTTTTACTTTAAAGACATAAATATCTATAGTATGTTCAATTTTCCAGGAAATTATAAACTCGCATATGTAAAAAAACTGGCACAATTACATTTCAAACATGTGTTCCCATTACAGATATGGCCTATAATAATGCAGGATAAGTTACATCAAACTTTGTACAGAGTGTTCCTTCTTCAGTACACAGCTTTATGCCAACTCATCAAGCTGTTATTTCCTTTCTTGCCTCCCAAAGCAGCATGCATAATCATAAATGGATCAAACATGCGTTTTACTAATAACAGTTCCACATATCTTTGGTGCAAACAGAATCTCCAGAACACTGACGCTCACTCAGATCATCTCAACTGAAGCAACCGCTTTTTCCTTTCGTTCACTTAAAGCGTCTCTCATCGTGCATGAAGCAAAGCGATGTGGGGAACAAATCTTTATCTGCTGTTCAAAGAATTCTTTTCTCTGTCTGCTGCCGATAGTTTTTTTTATTTTAATTCTAATACAATAATGTGGTTCTTCTCATGTTAACCAGCAGCAGAAAGTCTTTCATAGCTGCTGACCAATGTTTGGATGGGGCCAGGGAAACAAACAGACATGCTGGACAAGACTGCAAATAGAAAGTGGCAGTGAAATGAGGGCAGGTTTCGCTTTTGTCCAGGGGTTTGTTTGGGAGGTTAAATGGTGCAGGCAAATGAGGATGGAAAATAGAGGGAAAATTACCCCTTCAGTTCAATAATAATGAGGTTGTGGCCTAACCAAAATGCTTGTGATCAGAACTTCTAGCCTTTTTGTTTAACCTTACATTGCACAATCATGTCCATGAAAGCGTGCTTAGGAGATAAATCCTCAGATCTATAATCTCTTCAGAAAGTTCAATTTCTAGTTGGAGCCGTGCTGCTTATTAGGGTTAATACCACACATCATTCTTTCGTTAACCAGCCCAAACAAGCCTACAATTAGGACTTTGCTTAGGAAACTCTTCTGCACACGCTGCAGAAAAAGCCCGGCTTCTGGCAGGCACAATGTCTAGCTTGCAACGAGGCTGGGCATCTGGGTTTTTCACATGTGCAAAAAAATAAAATTAAATAAAAAACTCCTGAGAACTGAAGTTAGAAGAAATAGAAAAAAACAGCTTACCCATCCAGACCTCTCCAAACTGGCCGGCTCCAAGCCTGCGCTCCAGTTTCAGGGACTCACGGGGAATCTCCCACTCGTCCTGCCACCAGGGTTTCTGTGGCGCCCTGGACTGGCAGGGCTTCACCAGGATTGTGCACAACCCGTCTGCTTCACCTGAACAAAAGAAAAGCTATTTAAAAAAATAAACAGCTGCAGGATCATTTTGCAATTATTTAGGCTGACTGGCAACAGGTCAGTGAGTACTGGGTGCAAAAAGAGCAGTTTATAGAAGCTGAAACTCTCAGAGGTAAAAATCATTTCAGATCATTTTAGATTTATGTTGCTCAACAGAAAGTTTAAACATTTTTGAACATCACATCACCCACAGTTCATAAAATAATCAAAAGACTTCAAAGATGTGGAGACATCTTTGTGAAAGTCAATGGATGCCTATCTTCAGGAGCTTCTGCATTAAAAACAGGTCTGGTTCTGTTTGAACATCACTTCATGAACTCAGGAACACTTCTATAAATCAATGTACATTCAGTTCGCTGTGCCATTCACAAATACTCTTTAAAGCTCTATCATACAAAGAAGAAGGCATATCTGAACGCCACCCCGAAACACTGCTCTCATCTCCGGGTTTAGATCTAGTTTAAAAAAGACTGAAGCCAAGTGAAAAATCTGTGGTCAGATGAATCAAATCAGAAATTATTTTGGGAATTAAATACACTACATAAAGAGGAGAGGGGTCATTCATCCTGTTACCCACACACAGTTCAAATGCTTGCCTCTCTGATGGTATAGGGGTGCATTAGTGAAGAGAATGTGCAGCTTACACATATGGAAGAGCACCATCAATGCAGAACAGGTTTTAAAACATCACGTGTTCCCGTCCAGATGACGAGAAGGCCTAGTATATTTCAGAAAGACAAAAGGAGCTGCACACACGTGAGTAATGCTGGACCAGCTCCTTCAGAGAGTTAAAGGAGATCTTGGATGTGATGTAGAAGCCACCATTGTCCATGTTGCGGATCCTGTAGTGCTTGACCCCTTCACCTGTGTTGTGGTCCAAATCCCTGATTGATAATGAGTATGACCCTGGAAATACAACAAAAAGGAAATCAGAAAAGTGCAGAAAAGCACCATACGTCTAAAGTTCAGCTCAGTTTTTGCAGCCTATAAGAATAAAGTGTTAACGGTGCTAAGGAGTCAGAATCTTAAGTGTTGGTGTGTTAAAGAAGGTTCTTTTTTTTTTGTTAAATTGTGCAAACATTATCACATGCCACATTTTGTGCTACTTATCCGGTGTAAACAGGTAAAAGTTTGAATCAGTCAAATGCAAGTCTCAACAAGTGTTTCAGATCTGCAGCAGGAAAAACAAAAAATAAACTAAAAAGATGAAGCAAACTTGGAACCAGGAAGTTGATTCTGGGAAATATAAGGAATGTAAAAGACGTACTTTGAGTGTGCAATATATGAGCATGCATCAGGAAATATATTAGCTGCTTTGGTTGTATCAAAATGTTCAAAACATAATTAAAACAAACGCTCCAGAGAGCATCTCACCTTTGCTTGTCTCACTCTCTCGAACCAGGAAGGAACCCTGCGTGTTCCCCGGAGCGAGGAGGAGCCTCATGGCATCATTTCTAGAAATGTTCGTGAAGAACCACCTGCAGCACAAACACGACAATCTTCACTCTCTGAGCGAAACCACTTCCCTTCCCCCAGGGACACGGCTCATGAGATGTTCAGACTTTATCAAGCTTCCTGTGTGACGTACGGCTCAGTCTCCATGGTGGTCATCGCAATGAAGTTGTATGGGATGTAGCCCCGCTGGCCTGTGGTGAGGGACTCGGCCATGTACCACTCTGGGTCATCCCTGGGGAAAATCACAGAAGAGACAGCATCACTATCATAAGTCTGTTTGTATATTCTGTTGCTTCAAAGCATCTCGGACTGGATTCACCATCAGAACACAGCAGCTCCTGCAACTATAGACCGATTCTTTGCAGCTTAAAATGCTTGAAATGAACCACATCACACTGAGCAGGCAGAAAAATCTGCATTCACTTCGGAGGAAATTAGGCTTACGACTAATTTTTATTCTTTGCCACATTATACACTCATTTGAAGCACAACAAAAGAAAATAATTTTATTCCAAACCATTTTTTGTTTTTGTTTCCATAAAAATCAACTATATTGTGTTAATCGATGTTATACAAACATTGATTACCATATTTGTCGGACTATAAGGCACACTTAAAATCCTTTAATTTTCTCAAGAATCGACAGTGAGCCTTATGTATTAATTCTGATTGTGATTATTGTGAATGAGTTGAATAAAGTTTGACTTATCTGACTGATTTGTTTCACTTCATGCGCCTTATAGTCCGAAAAATACGGTAATAGCAAAGTCTTGGATGTTTTACAAATTCTTTTTTTAGTTCTTAAATTTGACGTCAAATTTTATATACAGCAAGACATTTTTCATCTTAGTACACAATTAACTGTTATTTGTGAATTAATCTTAAAAAAATCAAATTTTGCTGTTCAAAAGTAATAAAAAAACACTTGAGCAGAATAAAACGAGTGCAAAAGTCTCAACGCGGATGACGTTTGTAGTCAAACTTGAATAAGATGGATGTCAAATAATTTTTGCACGCATCAGTGTCGAACAATATATCAGTACTTTAAATATTATAGAAACAAACAATTAGAATTTTGGCTTTATATGATGGTAAACAGAAGAACAGCATTGATTATTATTAACATTTACTAATAAAATGCAACTTTTCTACCACAAAAAATCGACTAAATCAAAAACACTATATTAATTTCCTATCAGATCTTGATTTATCAATAAAACGCAAGATTTTAAAAAAGGTATAACACACAAAATACATGTTGTCAATATTTATTTCACTCGAGTTTAAAACATTTTACTTCAACTTTGAAATAAAACTGTATAAACTACTATACTTTAGGTTTAAACCTAAATATTTCAAGTGAACTCCATTGTTTTTATTTGCTCTGGAGTTGTGGTTCAAATATGTGTCCCTATTTCAAGATTTAAAATTAGTCGTGACAAGTTATTGGTAATTTATGTTGAAAGAAAAGAAGAACTGACACATTTGGAAAATATGCAGATATGAAAAGACAAACATGCCTCCTGTCATTTTATATATTTTTTATTTTCCCAAATCATACAGCAAATATAACTGTGTGTTAACCTATTGTTAATATGCGCTCTATAATTATAATGGACAAACATAGATCAAGTTTGTGTTGACGCTTCTTTTCTTTTTGCAGTTTGTGTGTTTAAAAGCAGCTCACTTGTTGATGATCTTGAGCTTGTCTCCTTTCTCAAAGCCCAGGTCCCCCTCATGTTTAGGTTCGTAGCTGTAGATGGCCAATCTGATGTTATCTGAAACAAACAAGGCATTAAAAATTTAGGTTTGCTCCTATAATTAAAAAAAAAGTCAATTTTTTGTTTCTCTTTGTTGCATATTCTCAGTTTCTAGAGGTAAGATAAAGCTAAAACTACCTTGACCCCAACAACATAAAATTAAAGGAATAGTACATTTCTCCTCCTTTTAGTAGAAATGCTTGTTTTTTTTAAATAATTTCTGAAGCAGAGAGCAGTTCTCTTGACAATTTTGTTTCTAATAAGACTCAACACATTGAATGGTGCACAGAAATTGCTTGTCCTCTTGGAATGGGAACGTCAAACTGCAAATACAGAATGCTGATGCGGGACATGTGGGAAATGAGGCACCAAACGAACATAAATCTGCTTACCCTCGTGGTTTATCACGTTTTGCATGTAATGGTTTGTCGAATGATGCCAACAAAGGACAAGTTTGTCCCTAATGAGACCATTAAAAGCTCAGCAAATGGACAATACAAAGTATCATTATGGGCGTTTGTTAACCAGTGAGAAACTGGAGCACATTAGACACACAGTTCTCATGTTGGAGTAAGTGTAAAGGGAAAATTACATTGAAAACAGAAAGGTCAAGAAAGGTCAGTCTAACAGGAAGTGGGCAACTTTTTTTTTTCAAAGGTTCACACCAAGACATTTAAACTGCAATCCAAGGGCCACATAGAGAATTGGGAAACACATTTTCTTTATGACAGATAATCTAGAAGACCTTTGTCTTATTGTAACATAGCATGCTTTATAAATCATGTCTTTCCAATATCCTTTAGGAATATAAGACGTATTCTGTAAACTGGCTCTCGTGACAATATATTATACGTTAGCTTAATATGTTATATATGTTAGCATAAATATGCAAAACACACATATATATTTGTTTTTATAAGTCTTTAAGTTTCTATCTGGGTAGTTCTGGAAACACTGTCACTTCTTTTATTTTGTTTTTTTAAGTTTTACGTAAGATGTTTAATTTAAATTTCCTTAACTCTTGTTGATAAATTGATGGGTTTATTTTAATCAATCTATTAAATAATTTATTTTTTTTTTTAACTAAGGACATTGGGGGCCTGATGGAGATTGTCCAAGGGCCACTTTTGGCCCTCGGGCCTTAAGTTGCCCACATCTGGTCTAGAAGATTTAAGATGACAGAACTGAGATGTTGAACGACTTTATTTAAAGCTTTTAAAAATGTTCTGCGTTACTGAGTTAAACATTACATAATAAATGCTTTTTAATTAAAAATTTCTTTTTTCTGATAAAAAAAAGTAGTAAGTAGTTTACCTGGTAAAGGTGATGTCGGAGGTGAACTCTGTGATCCGTATGGAATAAGCTGATCTGTGTACTGCGAGGACAAGAAAACACTATTTTACATCCTTTTATTTAAATATAAAACAACATGAGATTTATGCTGTAAAACTTTATAAAACACATTCACAGTAACAGCACGGATCATGAGGGTAAAACGTAGGCGGTTATAGATTTTCCTACAGACACAAACATCTCACAGGTGGTTTTCTCCTTAATTCAAATCTAAAACGTCTGAGTCACAGTGAGGAAACAAACATCACTCAGGGAATCCTGTTTAGTTGCACAAAAGACAACTTCCCTCCTAGATATTATGCAAGTTATTCAGCTAAAGCCGCCAGCAAGTTGTACTTTATGATGTTTACAGAAATTACATAACAGAATGAATGGTGGGTTTATTTCATGGTCAAACCCCGGCTTTTCTGCAGTCAGCTTTTGTGTGTGTGACCATCAAGCAGTCATTCGCATTCAACCACAAAAGAACAACCAAAAACCATTCGTGTCGCATATTAAAAGACATCTAGACTGAGCTCTTACTGGGTTGCTGGACTGGGGGGGGATGGGACAGTTGCAGTGTTCGCAGACTTCATCCAAGTTCTCCATCCAGTCGCTGTCCGAGTCCGTGCTGCAGGAACAGCCCATCTTTTCTGCAATTTGGGAGAACGTAGCTCTCAGATACCCTCACGTTCTGCGTTTGTGCACAGTTTCCTAACATCAAAGGTGCATTTGACTTTGGAACGGTGAAAACGGCAGCGGATGAAAGAAAACGTTGTCGGCTTTTACAGAAAACTGTTAGTTAAACAGAGAATTAGGTGTAATATTAAACAGTTTCTTTAATGAAACGCCCCAGTGTGTGTAGGTCAAACAATAAAGGAGATAAAAACAATATTAGCAATAATGTGATGCATTTTCATACAGTGGGTCATTGTGTTGGTTCTTAGAAACTTCGCGAAGTAGAAATAGTTCCTCAACCTAGACAATGAGGCGATAGAAACAAATGATTGCAGCAAAGCACCAGCATTGTTGCTGTGCTGGTTTCCAGTAAACCCATTCAGCTTGTTTGAACCAACGCCCTGCCAAAGTTGTACACGTCTGAGTTTCACGCGCCGATTGCCTTTTGTCGGAAGTTGCCGAGGGCCTTGAAACAAAATGGAGGATTGCCGTTGATTGGAGCTGTATGAAATTTTAAAATATTCAACTCTTTTGGTGACTTTTAAAATTACAACCAAATTTAAAGCTGAAGTTTTATTGCTCTTAAAGTCCTCCTTCTCGAGAGGTTGAGAAACTCAGAAATCTTGTTGTTTTTTATGTTTGTTTGTTTTGTTTACTCAAACCAGATTTCTCAAGCTCACTCGACTCCTTTAGGGCCTCTCGTGGAAAAGGGTCAGTGGGCTAATCGCCCCAGCCGTCTGTCCCAAAGGCTCAGAGTCGTGAGAACCCTTAAGAAGTCTGACCCTCTACTGCAAACAGCCCACCAGACCTACAGAGACCTCATGAATGGATCACAAGGGGACCACCAGGGTAGGAAGAAGGTCTCCTACGCTTACAGGGAGTGACACAAGTCAGCCTTTTCCACTGAGGGGCTACCCTCTACTTACTAGGAGCTGGAGGCCTTTCCAAACAAACCGCTGATTGTTACTGCTCACAAAGAACTGCGGATGGGAAGATAATACAAAATGATAATGTCTTAAAAAGATATTGGATAAAATACGATCATATAATACTAACAGGTCGAGGTGCTCCCATTATCTCCTAATAGTTTAAATATAAATTCACAAAAATACAAATGATTTCAATTTCTTTTTACTGGATGCAATTTTTTTTTCTTCTGTGCAGCAGATGTGCGAGAGACGGGGTACATCCTGTAGAGTCCATCACACTGTGATTTTTCACTATTTTAACAGGAAATTATTGATCTTTCCTGCCGTTCTTTACTGTTAATGTAATGTACAGCAAGTTACTGCGGAGTTGTTGGTTTTCACAGTAAATGTACTGCGTTCACAGCAGATCTGTGCAGTATGAGCTGTTGCATTCTGGGAAATTATTAGGATGCTGTAAATCAAACTACAGTAAAGATGGAAATAATTTAATCAAAACAGCAGCCCTCCATCTTGAAATAAAATACTTTTTGTGATTTAGCAGTAATATTTGGGGCGGGGGTGTTACAGTTTTATGCGTTTGTTTTTGCTTTAGGGGAATAAATCACATTATTATTATTTTTTTGGTGATATTTTACGTCTGCTCAGTACTGTGGGGTGTAATTGTCTTGCAGCACGTTTTAAAACTTGAGCAGTCAGATCAGCTCATCTCTCCTCAAAGCACCTGCTTTATCTGGTGAAATGTTTGATTCAGTAGTAGCAAATATTATTACTGCGCAGTATTTATGTAACACTATGAAAAATGGTAGCTATAATCATTGCCAGTGTAGTTATTTTGATATTTTAATATTATGTTGTTTACAGGGTATTTAAAGCAATGGCTCTCAGCTGCCATATTATATTTGGGTGATGGTGTTTTCATCATTCACATGTCTTTTTTTGCCAAAAATGCTTCAAAACGGATGCATAAATATGAATTATTTTTGATGTATCGCATGAGACTATCCAAATTATACTTTAAGAAGAGTGAGAAGCAAAGGTTCACAGCATTTTATTTCTCTGTGATCTCACAAATGTTCAGACTCACCTCTGGAAAAGTCAGATATCTCCTCAAATGTCCAGTGATGTCAGATGTCAAAGGTCGCCATCAAGATGTTCATTTTAAGACATTTGTTTGTTCTGTAGAGCTTTTTTGCGAGAGGATTAAGTTTTTCTCTTTGGAGCGTTCGGCTGTGAAGATGTCATCATCCGCCTCTCTTATTATAACTAAGTGTGCGAGCAGCGCTGATGTGGTGTCACTCACACACACAGACGCACTCTGTGGAGGAGTAACGCAGACAGTTTCCTGTCGTTGAAATGTTCGGGGTTGCTCTGCAGCCTGTTAACAGGTGCTGTGTGTGCAGCTGTATGTGAGCAAAGAGGGGAACGTTACAGGCTCCAAGACAAAAGGGGGTCAGGGCGGCATCGTTCCTAAACACGTTCCAATACAATTAAAAAAAAGGAAAGACTGGTGAGGGTACGCTTGTGTATTTTTATCCTGGTTTGCACTTCACAACGTGGGAGTCGCTGACCTTTTTTGAGATGCTGGCATGGAAGTGTTTAAAATCCCAAAAGCTTTAAATCAGAAGTGATCGATGTATTTTCGAAGATGAACGACACATGCAAGGCTATAATGGCTATTTGTAGCGCATGTATTTCCTGTGTTGTGGTTTCAGACTCTCAGTTTAGCTTAAAAAACTTGACTACGTGGCTAAAACTTGTGGTTTGCCAGCATATCATAAAAATAGACTTTGACCTTGATATTTTTTAAAAAATTTATTGTCAAATTTTTGATATACAATCTGCATTACAGGCTGTAAGCACCACCCTCAAAGAGACAAGATTATTAGTGAAAGCAATATGGTGTCAACATTTCAGGTGTATTTTGTTGAACAAGTAGTCTCAAGGCCTCGGATTGGGAGCCTGCGCTGCGGCGTACTACTCTTCAGACACCTCAGACTACGGGCCGCTTTTCTTCTCATGTGGTGAACGGATGTTGCAATCGAGCTTGCAGTGGCAGGAAGTCAGTCCAAGCATCACAGAGAGCGCACAGAATACACTACGTGTGCTCCGAAGCACAGTTCACTGGTGATAAAACCACTTGAGTTCAGCCTTTTTTCCATTGCAGAGTGAAATTCATGGAGGATGTGTGAGGCTGTTTTACTTTATTTTGCACGTAGTAGAGTTTTAGTGCGTTAAACATGATACAAACGAACCTAGTCACTTGTAGAAACCCTCAAGTGGAAAGAAGCGCCGCCATCTTTGAGAGGCGAGCCGTATCGCCCGGCTTTATAAGGCTTTGAGGGTATTCCTGCTCCACATTTGTCACCGCTTCCAAGCGTGGCTGGAAATCACATTCTGTTACGCAATCAAACCCAGATACGATCAAAGTTTTCCAGCCCTCCTACAGCGGGCTCAGCAGTGCAGGTGCTGGCCTCCTTCATGACTCTGACTGAGGCTTTTGTTTTGCTGCTAAGCCTGATGAACTGAAAGATGTGAATGCTTTCTTTGCACTGTAATATTAGCTTTTAGGCATATGATATTTATGTAAGATAGAGGAAAGGGAAAAGATAAAAGTAAACTGCCCTCAGGGAAATGCGGAGTCGCGTGAGAAACACAAAGCCAGAAGTTAAAATAAAAGGATCCGACGGCATAAGCCTCCATTTCCCCCCCCATTGTTTACTCCCATGTTCTTTTATTTAAAGTAAATCATACCTCAAGTATCAGGTTATGTACTCCCAAGTTTTGTTCTTGTTTCATTCAGCCAAAGCATTTTTTATTTTATTTTATTTTACAAAATAAATCTAAAAGTGTCTGTAATTACGTCCCTTCATAGGAAAGGGGACACTATCGTGCTGGGATTGCTGTAAAATTCAGAGCAGTTGATTGGTCCAATGCATCATGGGATGACATTTACTATACTGCACAGACAGAGCACAAACAAAAACGGGCCTTTAAATAGTTTTATTGTCAGTATATAAACGTCTGAATGTTATATGATATGAGAAAAAGTTGCTTTATGATTTTATTTCATGTGCAAGAAAAAAAAAACTTTACATTTCAGACATTTTCTTTAATAATCCCATGCAAACATTCAGTGTTTAGTGCCCAATTTTCTGCACAGAATATGATTTTAAACATTGAACTCATCCTTGAACTAATTTTAAGTGGGGGAAAAATTAATTTACATGGATTTCCTGGTAATAAAAACAATTCTTGTGTTTGACTTCTTACTTTATGAGTACCTTTAAACTATAAACCCAACCACTTAACATGCCTGCTGTTATCCACTGAGCTGCAAGAAGCATTTGGTCACTTTCCAGTTTTATATAACCCGTGCAGCATCGGCATGCTGCTGCAGATCAAACCAGCCTCCTGTGTCTCGTCACTGTAGTGATATTTTTGGTTTGTGACAAAGACGTGTAAAAACTCTGTGTGCTTCCTGGTGCAGATTGATGAAGGCTTTAAGAGTGTGTTGCTGCACAGAGGGACTCTGCTCACTTTTAAGACTTGCTGAACATTTTCTTTATCTGATCCCTGCAGGCGGACACAGACACACTATGAACCTTTGGATTATTATTTGTGACATTTTAAAACCAATGCAACATTTGACTGGTCGTTTGCATTTCAAAAAGTAGCTTTTGTAGATTTTGATCACGATAACTGGCCACAAAAATGGTTTTAGCTCAGTTTGTTTTACAGATAAAATGTAATGTGGTAGTAGCTGAGCCTTATTTGCAACACCTGCTCTGAGTGTGACATTTCAGCTATCTCAGTTGACCTTCTCAAACTCTGGGATGAAATGCGACAGGTGACTTGCATTCCTTTAAGGAATTATAAAAGTGCATTTCAAATTTACTTCAGACTTGCTCTTTCAAAAATGCCTGCAGCGTGCAAAGAAGTGCAAACAGCAGCTCAGTCCAGCAGGAAGATCTGGAGGCTTAAAGGTGTGGGTCTCTGCAGGTGTGCAAACAGCTGCTTCCTCATCCATGTCACGTCAAAGCCCATTAGTTTCCATGCTCCCTCGTGGGAAATAGTCACTGAGCGCCACTCCTCACTCTGACCTGCAGCGCCTCGAAGAAGAAGAAGATGGTGCTTTCAGGGGGAACATCAGGTTCAACACAGCGAGAACCGCCTGGAGTTGATGTTCATCTTGGTGAGGCCCAGGTGCTTCAGAGGCATGGACAGAGCAAAGGCCGCCTTCATGGGGATGTCGCACAGCAGGTCCAACTCCTCCCCGCACTCCTCCAGCTCGTAGGTGGCGTCGTCCAGCATCTCCTTGTGGCGGTGGCACACCTGCTCCACTTTCAGCCGGTGGATCTCCCCACGCAGGCGGATCAGCTGGCGGGCCAGACGGTTGTCCTGAACCTGCATCTCCCTCTGTGGGGAGGTGAGAGAGCAAAGTGAATGGGATGGGGTTTTATCTTCTTATCAAAGGGTGTAAAATGCTGGCATGTGGAGGCTGCAAGTCTGGACAAACTATTGTTTCACACACTCTTCTGTTTAGGCTGTGAGCACATCAATTTAAGATTATAATTTGCAAAGTCATAAAGACATTTAAACTGTGATTAACTTAATCTGTTTCCTCATATTAATGGGTCATTTATGAACAGATGCTACCATTTGTTTACCTGCAGAAACAGCCAAAGTGACAGAAAATACAGCAGCCATATTTGTTCAGCCAGCCCAGGGATTTGTTTACATTTAGCGTGGACCCGCATTTTATATCAATATGGCAAACTCTTTCAAACTGCACCATTCAGAAATGATGAGTACCTTCAGTTATATAATGGTCAGGAGGAACTCACCAGCTCTTTTCTCAGAAACTCCAAAGCATCATCAATGGTATCAAAGCCGCAGATGTTGCGCACCACCAGCTCCGAGTTCTCGTTCCTGGTGACAGCAGGGATGGAGCCGTCTTCCTCCTCGGAGTCTGCAGCACTTCTGTCAGTCCACGGCTGGTTCTGCAGCCTCTCCTGCCACTCCAGATAGGACGGTCTGCGCGTCTGCAGCTTCAGCTTCTCCGTCAGAGCTTTGACGCTGTCCAGATCCTCCTCGCCTCCATCTGTGCAGTCAGCTCCAAACTCTTTAAAATCCATCTGTGCGTCAGCAGAGAGAAGTCAGACTGAGCGCAACAGGTCCAAAGCTCCTTTAGAAGGAGAAGTGGGGGCAGTGACCGCCCATCCTGCAGAAGAGGGGAGGGGAAGAGGATTTATTAGATGCTTGATGAGACCACAGCAGGATACATGTTGTTTTGTGCAAACATAAGAAAAGTGACTTTACCCTGACTTCAACTGAAATTTTACAAACTCTTCACCAAATATAGTTTGTTGTATTCATGTGCAAGAAATATGTCACAGCTTCTGTTTTAATGAACTGTTTCTCATTGGGGGGTGTCAAACTATCAGAAACACACTTTTCTGTGTGTGTTTTAAATGACAAGCAGATTATTTTAAAAGCCAACTGCATTATCTGCAAAAATGCTGCGATAACGCTGATCGATAAATGAGGAGCAGAGTATTTGTCAAAAGCTAAACGGAGAAAAGTTAGGTAAAGATAAAAGAAGCTAAATGTTATTTAAAAGCCACATGCAACATGATGATGGCTAAAAGTTAAACGTAGCCAAAGAGAAGCTAAAAGTAACAAAACAACAGCCAAAATTTAAAAGATTTAAAAGGCAAGTTAAAATCTAAAAGTAGAAAAAAGTAGCTAAAAGAAGCAACTAATTAGTAGCTGAAAGCATCAAATAGTCATAGACAGAAGCTAAAAATATTAACAGGCTAGCTAGAAGTTAACAAAAAGTCAGCCAAAAGCTAAATAAGCTAAATGGTTGTCAAATGTAGCAAAGGACTAGCTAGAAAGCAAAAGTAAAAAAGGATAAGCCAAAATAGTAAATTAACATTTAACAAACTATATAAAAAAGCTAGAAATAACAATATGGTATTTATTTAAATTAGTCAAAAGTCAGCTAAATGTATCAAAAGGCTAGTTATGGTAAAAGTAGCACAATGATAGCTGACAACTAAAAGAAGACAAAAAAATAAAATAAAATAAAAATATCAAGTATAACCTAAGCTGAAGCAGATTTCAATGAAAACAATGTTTTTGAAGGAGCTGAAGAGACTTGGTTCTTATTATCTTAATTTTTTTCACCTTAAAATAAAGATGTATTATCTCTTAAACAGCTAGGTGTCAACTATTTAAGTAGCTAAAGTTAAAAAAAATGCATCTGAACCACATGTTACATTCTTAGTATTACCTCATACTAAAGGCAGTGTGCTTTAAATGAGGCAACACGAATGTCATGAATGTGCAGTTCAAACAATATGAACAAAAGCTGCATTGAAATTAAAAATTATCTTCCAAGACTGTGGAGGGTCAGCTGCAGAATGCAAGGGGTCACCAGGTCCTCCAGTGACTGAGAAGGTTTGGCATGCACTGTATGTACCGGTCCTGTGCAATATGGATTATTTATAAATTACTTCAGATAATAATTTACAACATTCTAACAGCTGAGTACAGCAGCTGTACTGAACTAAAGCACAAGGCTCTGCAGAGGGTTGTTAGATCAGGACTGAGCTCCCAGTATGAAAACATCACGTTAACAACACACCCTTATTTATCCACGGTCGCTTTGAGATCCTCCTGCTGTCTGACAGATAAAACCAGCAGGTTTAGAGACAGTGAAAGAGTCATTTGCATACAACTTCAATCATCCCTCGTGTGAGAAAACTGCTGGAACATCATCTCATGTATTCAAACTATTAGTCACTGAAATATTTAATAATGTAGCTTCCTTCTTCAATTGTTTTGCAGATATTTTTAAATTTAAAAAGATGTTACAACACGATTTAATTCACAGTATTTGTGGTTATTGCATGAGTCTATAAATTATCCTTTTTCTTTTTTTTTTTTACATTAAACCTTTTCCAATTGCGACCCCTGCTGGTCCTTTTATGTAACTGCACATTTTTACTTGTTGCAGACCTTACTGTAAAAAAAAAAAAAAAACTAAGAAATGACAACAAATGTGTTTTATACTTGAAATAAATATGATATGACCCATGTGAAATATATATTTTAAAAAGCTAACTTTTTTATATAGTTGGAAGTAATATTTGCTACTTTATCTTGCATTTAACTCACACTTGTTAGATATTTTTGGGCCTTTATGAATTATCATATCATAAACATGACTAATACAATTAACTTGCTTTAGTTTTAAAACATACTATTATTTACAGTGTTTTGGCGCCACCTATTGATTAATTTGCGTATTGCATGTGCATCGCCTCAGCCTCAGAAGCGCAGAAAGTTTTTAGCTGTTAAAATGTGACACATCTGGCTGCTGCTTTACTCTCAGGAAACGCGCACTTCCGTCTTTTGTCACCTCAATCAACCAACTCGTTTTTCCATTCCCACAGCTGCCTTGTGTTCAGCAAGCACTGTCGCACTGGAAAGAGTCCGGGTATGTTCAGGCAATCATGAAGGTTCTTCTATTTATAGGCGCCTTATCAAAACAAACAGAAAATAAAAAAACAGAACGAAACCCAGCAGCAGCAGGTCTGTGGGGCTCAGAGGAGGAAGCTTGCTTTCGTTTTCTTAAGTGAAGCGAGGAAGTGATTTGGAGCTCAGAGTGGGGACGTTTAGGGGCATTTTAACCAAAGAGGGGTGTTTTTCCTTTTTGATTGACTCAAGAAGCTGATGGAGTTTTCCGAGCACATCAAGAATGCCAATGTGGAGGATGTTGTGCTCCGACAGCCGCTCCAGCCGCCGGTCAGAGGCACCCTGTGCATCACCGGACACCACCTGCTCTTCTCGGACAGGGAGGACTCCTCCAGCCAGCTCCTGCTGCTCCTCAGGAATATTGATGCTGTTGAAAAGAGGTGAGGGAGGGTGGAGGATTAAAAGGTGAAAGGTCATTTGAAAAACGTTTGCCTTATAGTCTGCAAAATGTTTTTTTTTAACCCCACACATTTTGTCTGATGTGCTTCAAAACACTACATTAACCTCTGGATTGCCTCATCCTAAAATCAACCAATTTATCACAAGAATCTATTACTGTCTGGTGAATTGTCAAACCTAAACACTAATCAATCATCCAGTGTCTAACTTGACTCTCTTTTTTAATCAGTGTGGAAAACCTTTCGGGCTACCCTGGCTTCCTGTCTAAGGCAGGCCACAGTGAAAGGTTGGACATTGTTGGTGTGTGCTGCCTTCGCTGCCCCACAGCGCTGAAAAAGGAAATTTGCTAACAAGATTGCAGCAACCCTTTCATTAACAGCTTGCTCCCTGTTCTGCACCACTTACTGCTGCTTGTTTTCTCATGAAAGCCTTTCTGAGACCACTTCTTGCAGAAGAGACAGCCCGGCTGACGTGGTTTACCTTCCTCCTCTGCAGCAAGTCAAGCATCCTGCACCGCTAGAGTCTAAAGAACCGCCGAGAAATAAGAAACTGTATGTTTTCGGTGTGAGGATCGGTCATGTGTGCTGTGTTTTTAGAACGACTGGATCTTCTGGAACAATTACCATCAAGTGCAAAGATCTGCGGGTGCTTCAGCTTGACATTCCGGGCATGGAGCAGTGTCTGAACATCGCACACTCCATTGAGGTAAATTATACCAACACATGAACAGAAGTGAACCATGAAGGAAACACTGACAAACAGAAGAATTAGGAATACATACCTTGTACTTACAATGTATGTAGAGGTACTATGTGTGTATGACCAGGGTACGTAGGGTATTTACCTGGTATTTACCAGTTATGGTACTCACAGGGTATTTATGTTTTAAGTACCTCACCAGAAGCAGGTACTTAACATGTGTGTAGTTAGCCTGGCACGTAACGAATTTACTGAGTATTTTTTTAATAAACCTTAGATGTAATGTACTTACTATGTATCATCCATTTTGCTTTTACTCCCTGACATTTAACGCAGGGTGATTTGATTTAGTATTTCATTTTTTCTCGTTATATTTAATGTTTTTATGCTTTTATTCATGTTGCTGTAATATCTTGTTATTAATATTTGATGCTGTGATCTTTTTTGGTAAGCACTTTGATAACAGTTACTGTTTTAAATGTGCTATAAATAAATGTGACTTGACTTGACTATCTAAACTGTACTTAAAGGGGACTTACCTGGTATAAACCTGGAAATAACAAAGTACAGGCGTACTTGCCTCAAACGTACCTCGTGTGCACCAGGTTGTATATTTATATATTGTTATTATTCTTATATTATTATTATTATTTTGCTACTCAAATCTCTTTCATGCACTTGGTACAGGTTACTTACCTGGTACATGTCTACTAAACACAAAGTAGCAAGTCATTTCATAATACAACCCACTCCCAAGTTTCCATTGAACCAGGTTGTGTCATTCATGTCACGCAGTAGCAGTCAGTAGTATTTATACAGAGTACCTGGTACTTACTGGTACTTACCTCATACATACCAGTACTGCATGTTGTACTTGCTGGGTAAATACCTATAATATTTACTGAATAAGTACCTACCTAGTACGTACCTGGTAAATACAGGGTACAGGCTACTTACTTCATACATAATATGGGGAGTGGTGGCGCAGAGGTTAGAGAAGTTGGGCCTGTGATCGGAAGATCGCCCCAGTACTGACAACATCAAAAATATGGGTGGGGTAGGTGAAACACCCACACTTGCCCCCACCCTCATTCGCCCCACTCTGGGCCCATGAGCAAGGCCCTTAACCCCCCATCTGCTCCCTAAACAGGTCTCTCTTGACAATGAGTTGTCGTGGCTCAATGAGACTACCTGGATAAATAAAGGGTAAATGAAAAAAAATAAAATACTCTGTATATTTCCTTATGTATGTTCCATTGTACTAAAACTCTGGCACAACCATTTCATGTGGGATAACTACAGTAATTATCAATATCCGGTCCGATCATTATCCGTAGTTGTGAATTAATTTATTTCAAGACGGTGAGTTTTCACCTGTAAACAAAATAAATTAAAATTAAATAAATTAAAAAAACTGTAAAATGTGCGTCTGGTAGAGACATTGTAAAATATTAATTAGCCTCATCTTTTACTTTGTGGCGCTAGGATCCTTCCGGTAAACCAGCAGCTGGGCTGACCGAGTCTTGTACCATTTCTCCAGTAATGCACTTCTGAAAAGCATGTCCACAAGCAGAGCTCAGAGAAAACAGGAGAATTTAATTTATAGTGAGGAACACGTGAACATTTCAGACATGCTAACATGTCCTTAAAGTGATCGTTTTTGTTTGTTTGTTTATTCTCTTTTTCTATGAAATGCTGTTTTTATTCAGTATTTATTTGAAATTTTTTTTTGGTTTTGTACACACACACACACACATATATATATATATATATATATATATATATATATATATATATA